GGCGTGGGTACAGGTCCGTCCAAAACTAGCTTGAATCGGCGGCTACCTATCAGGAAGCACTTCGGCCCTATGCGCCGCAACACCAGGGTGGTCCTTCGGGCTTGCCTACGTCTGGCAAGGGTCGTTGAGGGCTTGGAGGTAGTTGTTGTTTGTCACGGCACAGGCGGCGGATGCGAGGCCGGGCGCAGGATCTGGAGACGGCCGGCTGGACGGTGGCCCTCCGGGTCTGCTGCACAAAGTGGCCACCGGCGGCGAGACGGAGATGACGCAAAGGCAGATCCCCTACGCCTGCCGCTCGGGGAGGCTCTGAGGCATATTGGCCTCCTCACTAGTGCAACTGATATCCAAGAAGTCAGTAGTACATAGCTCTTTATACCAGGCCGCAATAGACGGCCGCTGCTCGGAAACGCGGCAGTGTAGTTGTCCGGCGTGCCGTAAGGCCGCTATCGTACCCACCGGGTTAAAGTGTGAGAATGAAAAAAGCGACACGGTGTCGGCCACGGCGATGGCGTGGACTAGAACATGCCCACCCACGGCTAGCATCTTGAGAACGCTGGCGCAGGCGGCCGGCGACCTCCACTTCGCAGTGCACGTCGCGGCCAGCTGACGAACTTGGCGGGCTGAGGGGGCTGCCGGCTCCGAGTGGGGTTGGGGATTGGGGAGCGACGGACGGGATGCGGAAGCGTCCCCGGCGCCGGCCAGCCCAGTACTGGCGGCAGCGACAGACCCAGGAGGCGCTTATCAGAAGCCGCCCTCACAAAACATTGCGCAGAGCCAGACATGACACAGAAGACGCGAAGAAGTCGGACGAGGTTCTCGTCAACGCAGGACGCTCTCAACAAGTGAGACAAGATTGTCGAAGAGATGTTGGCCGCAATGAAGCCCGCACCGGCAGAGCTGCGTCAAAGCCCGGGAAACCAGACCTTGCATCTGAGTTCCGGACCCATTTGTCCCGTCCATCGGCGGGCAAAGGCGCCACTTTCACCACGGCATCCGTCGGCGCCTGAGTTGCTCCAGGATGGGCAGAGGGCTCTAGGCGAAGGGTCAACCCACCTCCTTCTCCTCTCTCAAATCAAAACTTCCAAATCTTGCGCGACTGCCTGCCTGAATCCCCACTCCGTCGAAGTCCTGACGGCTTCTCAGCCAACAGTCTCCCACGTCTCTCAAAGCCCCTGAGCGGCCAGGATGCCATTTCTAGGAGCCGTTCCGGTGTCCACGACAGGGCAGTCTCCTGTACGTGACATGTCGACTGAACATTTAGATGGAAGCTGAAGTGCAAAGAAGACGGATGCTGAAAACATTTGCACACCTCGAAAACTGAGACTGACACCCATGATTTCGGAAGCGCCCCTGTCAATATGACAGGCCTAGCATTGACAGATGGTACCAAACTTGCAGGGCCAAGGGGGTCGATTCCCCTGAGCTGTAAATTTGTAGGATTTCCAGGATACAAAACCAGGACACATTCGACAATATGGCCGTTGACAGAAGAAGGTAGCAATCCAACAACAGCGAGGACGATCTGCCAGGACACGATTTGCAATTGTTGTCAGGAGAACCAGCATACCGGAATGCGATGTCAATTTAGCAGGCAAGTGAGGCGGGAAACCGGCAGATTTGGGATCTCTGGGCAAACTACCGGGAATGGGGCTCACATGCAAGCAAGTGAGGCATCAGATGAACCAGTGCGCAGATTTGGATTTATGGTAGCGAGCTCCGGTGTCAAGCCGGCAACTGCAACAGTTAGCTGACCCCTACAATGGATAGGCCAGGCCTACGTCAGTATGTTGGTCCAAAATCGCGAAGTGGGAACCCCTATTGCTCGGTGAGCTTCTGCACGAAAGCGGCAAGTGCCCTCTGCCGCGGCCCAGGCGTATTCTCCACGACATACTTCTGCACCTGAGCAGTGCATCTTCTCTCAGACCATCCAAGCCTGAGTCACGACTTGCTGTGGAAAGCAACTGATCTGCTTCCATCCAGAATTCCCGCACACTCGAAGTTCACAGTATGCAGTGCTTGAAAGATTGCAGCTGATAGCCATGAAAACCAGAAGCCGAAGTGGTAATCGAAATGGCGTCCTGTACAGCATGAAAAATGCGATAAGAACGACCGACCGCCAGCAAGCCGTCTGTATACAAAAACATACAAGACGAACAGGAACCGCAACGTCAAGGAGATGCAAGGACAACTCAATCAGGCTCGCGCTGCAAACCAGCAAACGATCACTCGAAATCTTCACCGCAAGGATCTCGGTCAAAAGGTCGAGTACACAAACGAACGGAGCTTAGGTGCCCACGAAGCTGTCCGGTGTCAAATCTGCAGCTGCCACCTCCATAGCTGCGAGGTTAGGCGAGTACTGGAAAGGATCTCATCAGCGAGCAAGACGACCCATCAGACCAAAGCCAAGCGCAGCCCAGGAAGAACAGAGTCCGCACGCCGAAGCAATCCGTGCTGCTGATTTCTGCGGGGCTGGCTCGCTCCACAGCGATGCCGATCTCATTGCCAGCCTCGCTACAAGCCGACTACAATCAACACGAGACATGTCGGCAGACTTGGCGTGAGCCTCCGATAGCACAGTGGCCATCACAAAGCTTGTTGGGAGGTGTCGTCCCTGTCTGTGGTGTAGCATGCTAAGGTCCTCGAGTGATCCTGTTTCGAGTCCTGCGACTAGCGTGCCTCTGGTCGAGGGTACTGCTTGTCTGGAGGGTATTTCAGTTCGGATCTTACGGAACCTACAACCGTTGAATGAGACGGCTAGGGACGGTACGGTGCCCTTTCTAGACCACTCGAGCTCAAACCAGATCAGAGCTGAAACTATCCTAGGGTCCTAGACTGTGTTGGGAGGTTCTCTCAAGTCGCGAGCTGAATAGCCTTGTAACAACCTATGGTGTGCCTCGGCTGCTCTTGAAGTAGGCTCAACTCTGAGGCCGCAAGGTTTCCAGAAAACTCTGCTTCCTCCGTGTGGCACAGCGCACAGCGCAGGAACCTGGTTGAAAACACGGGCGCGTGCACAGAAACCGAGTCAGGGTGGTCATGCATGCGAATTGTGGAGGGCCCTCTTGGATTGTACAAGGCAAAGCTGAGCCGGGCGTCACTGGCCCATGGCTCTCCTACTGTACAAGCCCAGTCTTGACATTTCGAATTGCTTTCACACCGAAGGGCATGCTGCAGGGCGGAGAGCAAAGGCTCTATCATGTTTCAACAACTGAACCCCGTCCAAGCAGTGCCCCGCTGATGTGCTAAAGAACTACTCAGCTGATGCAGTGTGCGAGTGAAGATCCGGGGCCAATGCAGAATTTTCAGAGCACTTGACGTGGCTTGAGACATGCTTGCCTTCGTTCAGTCACTGGCCGGCGACTGACTCTCGTCCATCCGCAACCGTGGTTTCGGAGTCCTCTGCAAAGTGGCCTCGAGTGAAGCGTTGCCAACAAGGCAGACAGCGCAGCAACAGCAGATGTCCAACGAAATGACCCGCACAGCATCACACAATTGAACCACGATGCTGGAGCGAAATGCATGGATCTGAGCCATCCGATCGACAGAGGTGCACAATTTCATGAAGACCTAAATGCAAACCGCCTGGTGCGACATCTCCTTCACTGCTGCTCTCAGACCTTCAGAAAGCGATTGCTGCTCAGGGATGTATCTCCGACACATTAGTTTGGCAGAGTAATTCCGACAGCACACGGATTTGCAAAGGACCTTTTTTTCCGCCTGCATGCTTTCATTGCACTTCCCAGTCCAAGGATTTTTCTCCTGCTCCTCACCGCAAGAATTGAATTCGGGAACACGGAAGATTAAAGCATCAGAATCCTCGGGTTTGAAGACAAACACCCCTCGAGAAAGGGTAGATCCCTCAGAAACGAAAGCCCCTCGGAAACAAAAGCATGGCTTTGCCATGCAAAGCCCTCATGTTCGGAGTGGAGTCATCCACACATGCCTCTCTTGGAAAACGGGGTTACGGCATGGCATAGTGCTGTCGTGGCATCCCCTGGAGGGACTGGTATCTATGCCAGCACTCTCCAAGAGTTCTACCATTGCAAGATCTCCGGCACCTGCGGCGACTTCTAACGGGGTGTCGCCAGCATCATCGACTCCGCACATGTCAGCTCCAAGTTGCAGCAAGAAATGGGCCACTTCAAGGTGACCGCCCCTGACAGCGGCATGCAACAGCCCATCTGTTTGCATCTCCATGCCGTGCCTAAGCAGGAAAAGAATGAGCAAGCGGGCGATCTCCAGATGGCCTGCTGCACACGCGATCTTTAAGGGAACCTGGCCATGCTCATCCTCCAAGTTGACGTCAGCACCGGAGTCGAGCAGGAATTGGACCACCGCGATGTGTCCTCTGAAGGCCGCCGCGCACAAGCCCTCACCAGGGTCGGCACCATGTTCGACAAACAGACGCACGACATCCAAGTGGCCCTGCCAAGATGCTATGTACAAAGGTGTAAACCACCCTCCGATGCGACGGTGAAGGCTGGCGCCGGCATCAAGGAGTGCCTGAACTACATCGAGGTACCCGTTCCTCGCAGCAGCAAAGAGGACCGTCTCCCCACCGAAAGTGAGTGTGTCGGGACATTGGCCCTTGGCCAATATCTCTTCAACGGCCAAGACATCGCCACCGGACACAGCCTCCAAGAGGTCCCCGCAAAAGTCGTGCACCGTCGCAACAGGGGCCGCTTGAACCACCGATAGCTGCAGAGGCTTTCCCATGTCATGCCAACCATCCCGGCTGTCGATGGCAGTGTGGCCATCCAGTAACGTCAGCCTGAAGGTTGGGCAGGAGAGCTTCCTTGAAAGGAGCCTTTTGAGGTCTTGCGCTCTCCAGCCACTCGGCAAAGATGCCATATCGATCTCAAGGGTTTCCCCCGACATCTGAACCACGGACAACTTCCCAGTGTGGGACATGCTCTGCTTGGGCCACGGGAACTACAAAAGCCTTGTGCAAGCAAAATGCATGCTCGGCTCGACCCAAAATGCTGCCACTGCACACGCCAAGGTCAAGTGGTCAAGTCTGTCGGCTCCGGACTGCTTCCCACGCCCCGGATAATGTGCCTTCGTGATGCCAGACTCAAGGCCGTCTCCGGTGTCGCCTCGACATGCTCTGCTCCCTGCCTCAATCTAGCTTTACCTCTGTCCTCTTCCGAACTGGCAAAACTCACAGCTACCACAAGTAGCAAGGCAGATGCTCGGTTTTTGTAGGGTAACCATCCGCCTTGGAGCTGACTGTGCACGAAGGCTTCTGCAGCTTCCTGCTGAGAGCCAAGCCGGCACTGTCTCAAGGTGCAGAGTCAACACAACAGCGCCACGATAGTTCTGACCGATCGAGTCTGTCATATGCAACAGTCTGGCCTTTGGAGATCTAGCGCCATCTCGCCTGGCAGACGGTCCCATCACAAGTCAAGGAAACAGCACCAGCTGCAGCGACGACTAGATCCACCAAGCGAGGGGTGTAGATGCAGCTGTCTTCTTGCAGCCGACAGACGCCAATACTCAAGCTGTGACTGCAAGCTCGAGGGGCATTGAACACCGGCCCGCGGATTTGAGGACCTGACCACTTCGCTTGCTGGGACGATGGAGCTTTGGCTTTGACTAGCTGAGCTTAAGTGTTTCGAGCTGCATTGCTGCAAGCTGTGTCTCTGCATGTGTGCAAATCTATTTGCACCCTTTTGCACTTGTCTGGGTGTCTATTCGTGTCTCTGTGATCTGTCCATCCACTTATTTACTTATATACCTGTGATTCTATGTCTTGCTTTCATCTTATCACATGGCTATGGCACCGAACAACATGAAGTATGATGCCATGTCTCTATGTGTTTGTTTATGGGTGTGCGCATGCCTGCATGTGTGTGCGCATGTCTTCGTCTCTGCAGATATGCACGCGCTTTCTGCATGCACGCACGTACATGTGAATGCGCATGTATGAGACGCTTCGCAAAAACCTCAGGCACGTTGATGTTGACATCTTCCCGTAGATCTGCTGGCATAGAAGCTGACATAGATGTTTTGGGATGTGAAGGTACATAAGTCTCTGTGCATGTGTAGAGTCAGCAGGAATAATATACACGAACGTACTCCATAAATGCGCGTACATGCTTGGATGGTCAAGGCTCGAGCTTGTAATTCATACGAGGTAGTCCCTTCGTTCGCACATGGCCGAGCAATTGTTTAGCGAGCAGCTTTAGCTAATTGGCTAGCCAGCTAGCGAATTCTCGAATTGACAAGCTGCTCAGCTAGGGTGTTCGCTTCTCTGTCAGGTACCTTTAGTTCCCCAAGCAATGTTCTTCGGGGTTCGTGTTTGACGGCAAAAGATGGTGGTAGAGTACTGGATGGTCACGGCGAGCATGTCACGATTTGAAACAAGATCTCGCTCGCATTCAAGTCATGCAAGCTAGATGCTGAGTCCTCTCCCACGACGGGTGCAGGGAGTAACAGGAAACCGGGAGCGTAACAGGAAGCAGCAGAAAAGCCAAGCAACCGAAACTATGCTCGAACTCTTGTGTGGGAAACCGGTTTTCGGTCCCCTACTTTGACGCCATGAAAGCCTTATGCCTTATGCTGATGCCTATGTTTCGTTCGAGGCATACAGAGATTGGGGTTGAAACAGACCCACGGTTTGGGATGTAGGATGCCAGTGGCAATACACTCCTGGTCTCTGAAGCCACAAGTTGTTTCTTCACAATTATTGTTTTTGTCGAAGGAATGATATTGTTTTGTCTTGCAAAAAGGTTCGTACTAATGCCAGTCGAAGTTGTCATATTACGACTACTACGACGACGACAACTACTACTACACTACTGATGGCGGGGCTAGGCTTTTGCACGCCAACTTGCCTTGTTTTCTGGGTTGAGGGTTTAGGCTTTCGGGTTTGAGGACTCTGCGGCTGTAGCGGTATTTAGAAGGTTTAGGGGTTTAGTGCTTTAGGGGTTTAGGGTTGACGTGTTCAAGGGTTCGGGCATTTGCCTGTCGAGAACGGCTTTAAACGCTCGAGAACGGTTTTGGGGGTTTGGGGTTTCGGTCAGCTCTTAGCACCAGAAGTAGGACGAAAAAAGACATGACGAGACTACACACAGGAGCCTTCGTCATACGATCGTGCACACAAGTTGCGAAATTGCAGTTTCACTCCCAGCAAACACCAAGTAGGGGACCGGACCCTGAGTTGGCGAGCCCATGACAGCAGGTGGATGTGAAACAAGTAATTCTTGGAGCCCCGCTTTGGTTCCTGTTACGAGGGGCGGCCTGGGGGGTGTGGTTGCTGTTACGGGATCGGTCCCCGTTCCTGTTACGGGTTCCCGTTGTGGACATCCTGTTCCCGTTACGGCAAACACTCCTCCCACGACATTTGCGGCGTTCGAAGCGGATCTGGAGCTTACTGTCTACAATCTGCTATTGTCGCACTGCACGGCTCGGGCCATGGTCTGAGTCCTTCCTTCGAGATTTTAAGCAGCGCTTCAATCGAATGCCGTTGGGGTGCTCTTCGAGACCGCATCCAGTTAGCCTGCGCAGGAACACTTACTTGAGGACCTGGTTGTGCTCTAGAATCCAGCGTTTCATACCACTGCACTTACCATCGCGAACAGGCGCATATGCATGCCTGCATGGAGCATATGTTGTTTTCGATCTTTCGGTTCGTTGTTGAGGGCTCCGGTAGGGCGTCCCTTCATTTCCTCGGCTGAGTGGCGGGTCGCCCCGGAGTTTGGGCGTCTGCCACAGCCTGCCCCACCCCCGCCCCCCCCGCCCCCCCTCCCACCCCTTTCTGGCAAGCTCTCCCCCGCCCCAGCAACCATACATATCCGAGGCGGCTCTCACACTAGCTGTGACATTACCGGCCGATGTACGGCCTGGCAGACAAACACAAGTACACAAAAATGTGTGCGTGTGTGTGTGTGTGTCTGTATGTATGTATGTATGTATGCATGTATGCATGCACGGGCGCATGTATGCATCTATGCAAGTATGCATGTATGCGTGTATTCATGTATGCATGTATGCATGTATGCATAATACACATGTACGCATGAATGCGTATGCAAACCTATCTGTTTGGTTGCTTGCGTCTTTGCTTTGGCTGTTTGTGTACATGTATGTGCATATACAGATAGCTGGACATTGGGGGAAATATGTCTTGACGACAAACCTCACACTTTCTGCACAAGGCACGGTGGCGCTCCCTGCAGGCCTTGCAAGGCATACCTGGACAGGGTTTCAGGGTGCTCAACGAACCTGGCCGAATGGCTATGTAGCTCAAGTAGTGTGTGCATTGAGGACATCTGCGGCAAAGCTGCAAGATTCGAACAACCTATGACACCAGCCATGCTGCAAGCAAACGACATGCTTTTGGTGTTTTGAGATGTAGCTCCTTCAGCCCCGAAGCCGTACAAACACCTACAGTGCAATCCCACGGCCTGATCGGCGACGGAGGGATGTCCGTTGCCTGTTTCAGAAACCGCCAACCGTAGCAAACGCGTGCTGGCTTTCCACAGTGCCCTCGCTACCCAGATGCGTCCACCGAATGCCTGGGTGATGATAATGCAATATAATGCACGAAACTTTGCTCAAGAATACTGCTGAAAGAAACCAGCGATTGCGACTCCCAGACTCCCAGGAGCCGATGTGGACTACAGAAGTTCTGCTAGCAGGTTTGAGTTTCTGAAGGCCGAGGCAGACCCTGGCCAAATGCAGAGACTTGACAGCTTAGTGACGGCTCAGTGGCTTCGTCAAACCAGCATCCACCGGCCTGACTTCCCGGATCTCCAACCTCACAGCAGCCGCATCGGCACTTCAAGAGGTGTGGGCCTTCCAGCCGGGCCTCTGTTTTGGGAGAAGGTCCATCACGGTGTAGCACTTCCTCGAAGCTGTCAGCGGCTATGTAACAGGTCACGAACGCCATAAACAAACCAAGCCTTCATCAGCCTTCTCCTGTTTGATGCTACCGGTCACCAGGAGCTGCAGCTGAGGGTGGGACCATGAATGGTCCAGTCCAGAAGGCCAGCTGCTGCTGTTGTTGACGAATGAACAGAGCCCGGAGGGACTCGCACTCGCCTCGTTGCACGGTGTCCGTGAAACCATTCGCTTAGGCGCATCATCATGATCATCACCAGCCGCAGCAACGGCAATGGTGAACTAACCGGCCCCTCCACAAGTCCAAGCTCCCGGCGCTGAAGTGCCATGTGATCAGTAGCCAGTTGGTCTCTCTGGCGCTCAACCTTCGCTGCGTGCCGCTGCTGCCGGGACCCCTGAACCCTAAAAACGGCAAACCCTATACCCTCGCGGCAGTGGCGCGGCAGCGGCGGTCTCTCTAAGAACGCCGCCTGCTGCAGTCGCTCTCGGCTGCGTGCCTTTGCCAGGTCGAGCTTCCTGCAGGAGAGACGTGTCACATCGGCTCTGCCTCAAGAAACTCCAAGTTCTCAGGCTTTTCCTTTTCCCGGTGTAAGAGTGCAACACGGGAAGGGAAATCATCTGAGATCCGTTCTCATCAGATGGAACCGTCGTCGGACACCATCTCCTCCCTTTAAGGAAAGAGACAGGGGTTGATCCCAGCCGTTCTTAAAGAAATTGAAACTCCGCAGAACTAGTCTGCGACACAAAAGAAGCAAGCATCAGCTTGGTTGGCTTCAACACCTTATCAGCGAGAGCCCAAAACTTAGCTCCAATTTTGCAAGACAAGACCCTGATCGAGCTAGCAGGGTCTTAGAGTCTGGCTCTGGGGATTCACACGGCATCTACCGTTGCAGCACCCGTCTTGTCAGGTCGATCTACCGTTGCAGCACCCGTCTTGTCAGGTCGATCCTTGATGTCGAAGCTGGCCTTTGGCTTCAGCTTCGCAACTTGCGCCCAGCCACCGTGAGAAAGCCAAAGCAGCACGAGCACCGACGCAAACCACACCAGAGAAGCCCCGAGACTGTCGTTGGTGGCATACACTGCCCCTTGAACACCAGCCAAAGCAGTAAGGACGAAGCCAAGAAAAACTAGCAGTGATAGGCCGCAGTCCTGAGCACAGCAGCCGCATCAACGCCCTAACTCAATCTGAGGACACTGCCAGGTTTTAACCGAGAGCGGTTGCGCAGGGTTGCCTTTCGTCCTCACCCATCGTCATACATCCACCACCACAACTTCTGCAAATCGATCTAGACCATTCTAGGCCGAGCTCTCCCACATGCGAGGAACGTCTTAGTCGTGCCCTAGCGTCCAACTTTGGTTGAGACGTTCTGAAATGTCTTTCAAAAAGATCCAAGAGTCCATCAACCATGATCGTGAACGGCCAGCAAAGCGGTCGCACAAAAAAATGCCCGCCCGCACCAACACCTTGATCCGGCGAGGGGACTTCAGGGGCCGTCATCTGGAACAGGCAAAAAAGTCTACAACCTGTGCCCAGCTCCGATGATGTACCGGGATCGTCCAAGCAAAAGGATGATTATACAATCCCAGAAATATCTGCTACCATCTACCGATCGCTTTTCCAGGTTGTCAATGAGACACCATGCCCCAGCAAAGAAACACGCCAAGCAGAACCCCGAAGAACTGGGACAGCAAGAGCTGCCACGGCGGATGAGCTTTGATCAGCCCAGTAATCGTATCCGCACCCAGACTCAAAAGAGGAGTGATGATCAGGAAGGAGTAGGCAGCCGGTAATCCAGCTTCGGTCGATGAAAGAAGCTCTTGCCGCAGTGGACCCCGCACATAGTCTGCAAAAGCTTCTGGACTGCCGTACCACTGAGAAATCGCAGAGTGAATGAATTTCTTGTCGAAGTCTTGCTGGCACTGGACCGACTCGAGGGTGAAACTGTCCAGCTCCTTCGCGAGGGAGGCATACTTTTTGACACTGGCAACACGGTTCGTGTACTTCAAGCGTCAACACATTGCTCTGAAAACATTGAAACACATCAGAAACATCGCACAATTCCTGTTGTGGAAAGGAAGGCAGGACCGATTCGGACCGATTCAATTAGCTCAACATGCGAATACACCTGATCACCCTCCTTGATACTCGCAAAGTATGCACGTCGTCCTGCTCGGTTGCAATGTGTAGCGGCAATGTCCCGTGAAGCTCCCGCTCACACCGCTCTCATACACCCATCCTTTGCACTTCATGTTGAATAGAGGCATGTTGCCACTAAATGTCTGAGACTAGTCGAGAGGGTTGACACATTGGTTGACAAAATTGGCACCAACGAATGATCCTCCACCACTCCTGCACATTCTTTGGCAAAGCGGATATGAAACTGGGCCTGATTCACACGGGGCTGTAGCGTTCAGGGATGTCGTGCCTGTCTGTCTGTCTGTCTGTCTGTCTGTCTGTCTGTCTCTCTGTCTGTCTGTCTGTCTCTGTCTGTCTGTCTGTCTGTGTCTGTGTCTGTCTGTCTGTCTGTGTCTGTCTGTGTGTGTCTGTCTGT